CTACAGCACTACTCTGAGAATCTTGCCAGTCTCCTTTAGTTGTTAGAAATAAATGATAAAATACATTTCATTAATATAGTCCAGAAGAAGAATATCTTACTTCATGACCTGTGTCTGTTGCCCTGGAAGCAGCTGCTACCTAATAGTGAGGGTCCAGTACAGCAACTCATTTTCAAGAAGGTGGAGAGATTGTCTCTAAATAGAGGGCTGAATCAAGAATGGATTTTTCCAGACTGTCACTGCTGATAAAATGAGGTTTTCAATTGCAATGCTTAGCACAGAGCAGCCTGCCCAGGGAAACCTATGTTCCAATGCTGCCAAGCGATATATGCTCAGCACTGCATTTGTCAAACCATTTCCTCTGCTAAGAGTTAATGTGTCAGTCTTGAAAACGGCTTGCTCTTCTACCACCTTTCCTGATGGAAATCTGAAAAGTGCAACTTACTTCCTTTCACAAAGCATTTTGTTGAGACTCTTGACTCCAAACTGACTGCCTCGTGGGGAAAACCTGCTTTCTAGAAACTTAAAAATGCTGACTGTTCCATCATAATTCTGCCTCACTGGAGTAAGGAGGTCAAACAGGGAAACAACAATTATTAAATATAAAGTGTTAAAAGGCCATTGCTGGGTTTAAGGACAGTTCAAACATGCTTGAAGTCTGAATGCTAATCTAAGCACTTGGGACTCTTTTGTTTTAGCTTTGATTACACGACCAGCAGACAATGACTGCAATAGACTCTGCTGTGATAAAAGCAAAAATCACTATCCTTTCTGTAGCAGATATAAACATGCAAAGAAGCAAGTTTCACATGAAGACTGTTTAAGAGCACATGAATAATTCCAGAAATGCATCCAAAGAGCAGCTTCCTGGATTAACTCTGCTGTAAATGCCAGCAACCAAACCCACCCACTGGTACCAATTGCACATCTCAGCTTTACCTCAGCTTAATCAAATCACTAATTTCTTACACAGATCCTGAGGAGCATCACAGGATTTTCATTCTTCATAGGAGCTTAATTCACTGTTTTCTTTCAAACATTTATGTCTGTCTGCACTTATCTAAGTACATTGTAACCACTAAATCGCACAATCCATCATCTCTTTGTCAGTATCCTACACCAAGAAGATCCTCTGAGAATATGCTTACAACATAAAGGTCACTCTGAAAGTTGACTAAAGGCATGAATAAAAAATAAAACATTTAGTTAAGCCCTTTGTGGAGATAAGGTTGCCATTACCCTTTACTGTTTAAACAAGTTCTTCAACTGCTTTTCAACACTATTGTGACATCACATAGAGAGTTTAATGGCAGCTCCTGAGTATATACAGAATCAAAGCCAAAACTGAGCTTACTAAAGTTTCAAAAAGTTACACAGCAGTGAGAGATTAAGAATCATTATATACTTGGCAAACTGACCTATTTCCAAATGATGCTGTCACAGGATGATATGTGCAGTGGGCGTATTTTAGCCAACAAAAGCTAGCAAAGTGCCAAGAGCTGCTGAATTTCCTGTTAAGAATTAAGAGCCCCTCCACACACATTTTCCACTACAATATATGGCCCATCTTTTTGTCAGCACAAGTCTTTCCTGAAAAATTAGAGTTGAGAAAAAAAACCACCGGCCACCTTTTCTCTTGAAAAGTAAGGAAATTAAAGGAAATGAAAAAAGATACAAAGTAAGAAGAGCTGATCTGAGGGTCCTACTGGTTAATGTGCTTCTGAAGCAAAGTGCAATTCCAGTTTTATACTTGGTGCGTGAGCACCATGTAAAATGGGAGTGTGAAAATGTAAAAGTATGCGAGACAAATGACATTTTATCTTTAGACATAGTCATCCCTCATGGGTGTCATGCCTACTTATCAATTAATCACTAGAGCATGAATATCTTAAGACAAGGCTAAAAATGAGGGGCAATTTTTCACTAAATATGCTTGAAACAGCCAGTACATTTCACAAAGGAAAGAAGAGGTTTGTGATCTATTTCGCAGTTGCTTCGTAAGTGCAACCTCACAAAACCTGAATGGAGATCCCTGACACTGACTGCTGTGATGACTTGTGCCAGCCATCAGTAGAAACCTCAAGGCTTAGTGAGTGCGTTGCCAAGACTCAGTGAGTTACCACTTCCTGGCTAAATTAACAGCAACTGAGCAACTATGAAGTTCTAGCCATTGCAAACATCAAATAAGAAGTATTAGCATAAATCACGTAGTGAAATGTAACTTGATAAGCCTCTGAAACTTGGCACTTTTGACTCTATGAGCATGCCCTCATTGTCTTGGCTAGTATAGACAACATTAAATATGTAAATGAAGTAAAAATCAATATTTCCTATCAGCTAGCAAAAGAAATGGGCATAGGGAGACAAATACACCCTCTGGAGCTCAAAATTCATCTGCCATACAGATGCGTAGGTCTGGTTTATGGAAGTCCACATCTTCTTGTACCTGCAAGTAAACTTACTGATCTGATGGTTCATCTGCTAATATATGTTCTATTCTCTCAGTGTTTTAAGTGAGGTTATCTAAACAGCATTCTATCCAATCACCCATTTAACTATACTGTTTTGCCTCACAGTAAAAGTTAAGCTGTCTGGATCTATTAAATGTTGCAAGATATTTTTTTCTTTTGGCAGAATGATATAAAAAAACCTACCAAAAACCCAAGAGCTTAATTTTCCTTAGTTATATACCTGCAGGGGAAAATACTACATTCACATCTCAACCTTGTGATTTGCTTAATGAGAAAAAAGACACACTGCTTGGACATAGCTCTGAAAGAAAAAGGCAGTTGAAGAAAGTGTATAGCTGTTAGCAGGAAAAGACCAGCATTTCATCACAAAAAGCAGTTTTGATTTCTTCTGCATGTACACACCTGCTTTTGTGTACAATAATGCTACTAAGAGCTGTTACCTAGACCATGCCATTGCCTTTGAGTTTTAACACCTAAAACCAAATGCAAACAGAAAAATGTCTGTATGAGGTGGCATCCTAGTAATTCTCAGATCACATATTTAGAGGAAACTGGAAATAAGGACAATATTTTTCAGCAGGAAAATCCACGAACTCTCTTTATAGGAGATGAAACAAGTAAAATCAGGAATCAAAGGAAGTTACTAGTGGGATTCTAGCAGAATTATACAGATATTTTTATTATTTAAATATAAAATGCTGAAAATACAAAATTGACATCTAATTATTAACATGTTCCTGCATTTGGTTTTCCTCACTAAATTTTGAAAATTATGACATTTTAACATAACAAGCTTCTAATATCAAAGTTGAAGTCATGAATGAGCCACAGAAAGATCATCTGATTTTGATTTTTCTCCTTATTAATGATCAGAGTCTGATTTTGCTTACACTGTTAACTATACATGCTTCAAACATTTACTGTGGATAAAATAAAAACCAGCCTATTAACCAAAAAGACACTGTTATGCCTCAGCAAAGAACAAGACACTAAACATAATATGGCTAATTTAGAACAAAGAACAACAGCTGAGGTAACTGATGAATTACAGAACCTTTTTGTCAATTTTGATTGCACAAGGAAAGTTGCCAGAGCAGTTTAATATACTCACAGTTATAAATTTTTATTTATTTTTTTTTATTATGGATACATAACAACAGTCCCCACACCCCCAACCAAACTAAATGTAGGTCAAATTCTCAAAACCGCACTTCAATCCTTGAAACTTTGCTGTCTTCATGATGCCCAGAGTGGTCCCTCTGAGAAGGGCATGAGGGTCCCTAATCTACATTGCTCAGCAAACAGAAATATAAGATTGACAATATAAAACGAAATTACGAAACATTATCAAGAAACCTGGATGCAGCTACACAATAGACTGTGGGAAGGAATGGTCCAAGGAGATAGGCAGCCGTTTCCCTACACCATGTCTGTACTACAGAGTACTACTGTAAGGAGGGTGTTGCAGCCTACTTAAATCTATGAATAAATCTGTCTTGAGAACATATATTACACCACAAATATCAGGACACTTCTGAGACACAATTTTTGCAACCACTCTCCCATCTGTGGTTCTTTTCGCTTAAATTCTGTAAATGAAGAACGGCCTACAAAAGCCATTGCTGAATCACTTAGTTTCATATAGAAATTTACATCTCAGTTACTTAATGGAATCTCCCAACCGTCACTCGTGAATACTCTTCTCTGGTAATTTTGTTCAGACAGATACCATATAAAAGATTGTCAGAAATGCTTCTAAATTGTTAAAAGATATTGTTTAAATAAAGGGGAAATGCAAAATCTATCTTTCCAATCCAGAGGCTGTATTGTTGTTGTATTACCTACTGCAGCTAAGAAGACAACAGCAAGATTGCTGTTAAGACACCTAAAAATCCATCTGAAGTTTTACTGTGGACTGGTAAAATGAAGATTTTTACTTAAAATAAATATTTCAATTCAGTGCATGATAGAAGACATTATTTCATAAACAAATTCTTAGCATTTGTACATGGAATTTTTCACTAAAATGGAGAAGCCCGAGCACACAGCTTATTTTACACTGTTCAACATTTACACTGTTGAAGAAAGCACTAGTACCTACAGGGTTGTAGACTTCTGTAAACCAGTCCAGATCAAAACAGTTTTGAATTCTGGACATCTCTCGAAACATAACAACAGGCATCCAAAACCTCAACAATTATCTATTTCAATCTATAAAACCTTACCGTACATACTTAAAATTAATACTTCTCAAAAGACTTGTAATGCTCATTCTTTTACACCTCTCATGTTCCACAGAAGTAAACAACACATGTGGGACAGTATCAAACAGTTTCTGAGCTTTCTTAACGTGTTTACATGAATCTTATTTACCCTTTTCTTGGCAAAATTCCTTAATATAAATGTACAGGCTTGCATATTTGCCCTGAATACCAAGTCGCTGCATGGATTATGAAAGAAGTGTGTAGCCAAGCACACTACAGGGAAAAAACCAAACACCACAGCTACAGTATATAATGTAATACTTACTATTTATATGTTTCTGAACGAATGTATTCGAAAACATGAGATACTCCAAGCTGGAACTGGTCAGCAATAGGGGTAACCCAAGGATTGTTCTCTGCTTTGAAGACTTGCTTTTGACCAGTCAAATCCAAATTACCTGAGGGATTAAACAAAACAGCATATGAAAAATACTTGAAACATTAAAAATTTGAAAGAAATACCCTCTGTGCATATAAAACCTTTTCATTCGTTTCAGAGAGCATGGCCAAAATAAATGCAAGCATTTCAGCCTTAACACAGAGGAACAGGAGGACACAGTAGTTCCCACTCTCTTATTTCAGTGCTGCTACACACTGCACAGCAGGGTTGAACTCCACCCACTGCATATTATATTTATTCATCAAGTCAGTTTTAAGCAGGACCTGATAGCGCATAGGTGTGGGCCCTCTCCACCATGATCTGCAGGAACAAAAGGAGAATGATGCTTCGGTAGGAGTCTGCTCTGCTTGGCATTGCAGAACATTTCTCAATTCCTCCTCCAAGCAAAACACCAACAAGCAACGCCCAACAGGCTTTTTGTCCTCTCAGTGCCAGCCTGTTGTCTGAACTGAGATCCTACCCTAATCTGTGATTAGAGTGCCATACACTCAGAAACACAAACGAAGAGCATCATTCTTGTAGCATGCCAGTTTTACCTATTCTGTTGACAGGAAGACTTAAGAGACCTATTATGGGTTTGCTCGGGGTTTTTTGTTTGTTCGTTTTTTAAATGTTTACCACTCAACCCCAAAACAATCCACGCTCCACTGAAACTTGACGTGTGAAACTGACGTGTGATACTTTCCCGTCGTGCACAACACCTCATGACTATGGATACTAAGGGCTGAATTCCAGGACAGTCTAGCCATTGAAATACTTTGTGTTCTTTAAATTAAAATAAGAAATCTATGGTACATTTTCAATTTATTTTTGTGAATTTTATGATGAAAAGAGGCCTACCCTCCCCATAGAAATCTAAAATAACTAAAAAAAAAAATTCTTTAACCATGGGGAACAAAACAAAACAAATTACAGGGTTTTGAAGACTGACTGAGCCAAGCTGTTGGAGAAATCCAAAATCAACCTGATGCGCCAAATTTCCAAAATGAAATGCCTGTTTAAGTGCAGGCAACGGGAGCTGCTGTGAGCCCTGTGCTTGCTGCCCACGCCGGCTGCACGTTCTACATGACAGCTAATCCTTGGCGCGTTTCTCTCTGTAAAAGGGGTTAACAACAATTAAAGACAGGCTATTATACTGTGTGAAAAGATGCCATGCATCTCATACTGGCCTATCACCGAGTCACCATTACCTTAACAAGCTCATCTGCCAGCTGTCTGTGGCAGGTTGGTTTGAGCTCACAGCCCGTCAGTCAGGCGGCAGCCGCCGCGCTCCGCACGCTCCAGTGCGCCTCGTTAGGAGCCTCGCGCCCGTCTCCTTTATTAAAGGACGCGGCAGCACTGTTCTAACAAGGATCAGGAAAAAGGATTAAGTACTGTGACAAAGAGGACCTAATAAGCTAGAAAGCAGTGCATCTAAATCTGTGCTGGCTGAAGGCGCAGGCTGGTGCTGCTCACTATCCAGCTCTCAGGTGGAAGCTGCCGGGGAAGCCGGCCAGCGTGGCGATTAGCCGTAACCCTCTGACCAGGGCTGCTGTGAAGATCATGTATCACTCAGGGTTTGCTTTGCAACTGTAAATTGGATTTCCCATTTTATTACCTGCAAAAAATCCCATACTTTGCTCTCCAAAACTACCAACACTCTAAGCATTCTGCAGGTACTGCATCAGGGTAAAACGATCAATCTGTGTACAACTAATAAAAACAATTAAATCTGGGGAGGAAAGCTTGGCTCCATCATGAGTCAAGTTCAATGCCACCTACAGGACTAAGTCACATGTTCCCAAAATCTCAATAGGTCTTGGCTGAATCCTCTCGACCCGAGCTGTGTCAGAAATTTATCATCCAGGGAAGGTTGCCACATATTTCCATTCCCACAGTGCAGTGTGCTCATTTCATTTCTAACACCCGTTTAATACTAGTATGGCCTGTTTAAATGTAATTAATTGTAATAATTACTACTCTACTACAGCTGAAGAAATCTTACAGCAAACGCAGGACTGCTCAAGTAAAATGATCTGTAGGTCCCCATGCCAATGTAATAGCTTTATTTTCCTCTGTCTTCTGTTTTTCCCAAAACACATTGGAGGCAGGTACAAATATTACTTTTTACCTTCAGAGGGAAGAGGGAGGCAGAGACCCTAATTAATCTAATTACAGAGAAACGGGGTACACAAAAGTTCGGCATCCGCACTGAAATCCACCCCTCCTTGCCCAGGATGTCCTTCTGGGAGTCCTGCCAGCAGCAGCTGGCCTGGCAGCCCATCCCACCGGCCACCTAGAGCTGGAGTGAGAGCCCAGGGATTTTAAGTGAAGAATTTAATCAAGTGCAGTGGTGAGAAAAGGAACAATTTGTCTGTCCTCGTGGAAAGCACCAGGCAGAGAGTGGGTGCTTCTCTGCAGGTGAGTGGGCTTCCTCACAGAAGGTAGGAAGGACAGGGCAACCGATGCTTTAAAATCCTCCCCGTTCAATAATAAAATTTCCATATAGAAATGAAGGACAGAAATGGACAGAAATTAAACAGGATAAGAAGTTACAGAGAGACTGCCCCACCTCATCAGCACTAGGGAGGAAATGGCATCTAACACTCCAGGCACAAGGCAAGCCACTTGAGCACAAAGAGGCCGCATAATTAAAACTGAGACAAAAGGGAAACGAGTCACTCCTGCACCATACATTGCTTGAGGCCATATCCTGGTGTCCTTTCTGGGTGTACCTAATTCTGCTCTGGCTGCAGGACATCCATCAGTCCCAAGCACAAGGCCAAAGTCTCAGTAACATCTCAGGAACAGTACATTCAGGGGTAACCAAACACAGGAGCGCTGCACGGACTCTTCTGCTGCAGTGCACCAAGACAAACCCAAGGGCGCGGAAGAGATGCTGACACCCGCCTGAAGCAATGGCTCTGGTACCAGGTTCACTGCAGGAGAGCTGTGCAACTGGACACCTTACAGATGTGTCCCTGTCCCTCCCATCCCCAATAGTCTCCTTTTTTATGGTAGCACCATGTTAGGAAATGCTATTACTCCATCCCTGCAGCACTAGAGCCATTCACCAGGGAAAAAGCTATGGCAGATGCGCCTTCATGCATATTGTCTAACAGCAGCATCAGCAGAACACCATCCCCAGGGCTTTAGGAAATTTATATACTGTTCTGCTACACAGATCACATCAAATCCCTCAGATATTTTTAGTAAGCAAAATACAAAATTGCTTCTAGTAAAAACCCAGCACTGAAGATTCAATCACAAAACATATTAGGGTTGGAGAGTGCATTGGTCATTGCTGTTTTGTTCTTTTCATGCACATCAGCCTATTAAAAAATATTTATCATCTCTAAAATTCGGCATAACTTGTTGACTAAAATTGTATTTCTTCATTGTGGACTTAAGGTTCTTGATATTCTGCCTTACTGAAGGAGATCGGCTCCACCGAAATGCATCACAATCATATGCCTCTGGTAAGAGAGGAATAGCCCGTTATCTTCAAGACTAGTCAGCACAGCCCCCTTCCTAGATCACATAAATGTTTTTCACATTATTTTTGAGTGCTTCTAAAACTATTCTAATAAATGATCAAAGCTACACATTCCAGAACCCAGGTCTAACATGCTTAAAGAATATTCAAGTCCTGAGTCTGAAGGATACTTTTTTTTACAGTTTCTACTTTCACTAAACATAGATTTCCAAATAGGAGGAATGCAAAGTGGACATATGCTGCTACCAGCAAGCAGACACTGAAAAGAGAAGAGTCTGGAAAGAGAAGAGCAGAGATCTAACAGCTGACTGCTGTGCATGACCAGCACAAAATGACCAAAAGCCTTCTAAAAGGAGCAGCCAGCTGTGTGATCTTAAAAATGCCTGATCTTGGCATTTTTATTCCTGTCTCAGCACTTATTGTATCTAAAGATGATCCTGAATCCTTAAGTTTGATTGGATCAGTGTGACTTAACTTCTGTGTTTAACTCACCTTAAAACCAAATTGCTCCTAATGCCCAACTACTAAGCTGTGCAGACCTGAAAACTGTCTGCTGTGTGAACCTCTTATTGGCTGCCACCTCGGAGCTACAGTAAATAGATCTACACCAGAACTCTTGAAAATTCAAGGGCAAAATCAAAGTATGCATATTTTTAATTTTAAAGTATTCTAACTTAAACCATCCATTGACTAAAAGTACCATTTATCACTGCTTACATTCAGAGCTTCCACCGCCATGAGTGGACAGAAGGCACATCTCATATGACAATGAGCACATCCCATCCTGACTGACATTAAAAGGAAAAGAAGGCAGCTACAGTTTTCCTGCACCTGTCTCAATGAATCTATCCTGCATTTGAGCTAAAACACGATCATTAATGTTTCTTGTTATTTTTCCTTCAGTGCTGTTGAAATAAAGAGTGGTTGGTGTGAACATTCGTGTTGTGCTCAACTGCCTGCAAAGGTCAGAAAAGAGCTCATAATAGAAAATAAAATGATGCCTCCCACAGTCGTGTTTGCAGACAGTGTCAGAGCCAGTAATAACACCACCTATCACTTTGACCAAGGGTGTCTCCAGACTTCCCAGGCTCCTCCTGTCTATTAGATCCAGCCTGTAAGCGCCTCTTACATACTAGAAGCCCATCATCCTCTCGTGATGTATGATGTATGAAGTGTGTAATGTTTACTCCATGTATGTATCCTTGATGTACAGTAAGGTATGACTAGGGTACATGGGCATTACTTAAACACAAGAAAACAGAATGAACGCAAACCTGGATTGTCCTTTCCACTTGAACACCCCTTGGCAACACTTTAAATACTTTCAAAAATTAAAAGGTGAAATTAAGTAATTAAACAACTCTGACATTTGAGAACTGAACATTGGCATTCAACATAAGAAACATGATCCTAGCTGTAAAATGCCAGATCAACGCTTCTTTGTAATGGTTTAAATTCATCCCCAGTGGAGCTTCATTAAAATCAATGGAAATAATTTTTAGCCTGTATACTGTTGAGTTTCA